GAGGAGGATTGGTAGCAGTGAGCTCAGGGCTAATCTTCCTCAAAAAAAAAACAAAAACAAAAAGATACACATAACATAAAATCTACCATCTTAACAATTTTAAGTGTACATTTCAGTGATATTAAATACATTCATAATGTTGCAACCATCACCACCATCCATCCCCATAATTCACCTTGTAAAACTGAAACTCTATACCCATTAAACTATAACCCTCCTCGATTCCCCCACCTCAGCCCCTAGCAAACCATGATTCAACTTTTTGTCTCTATGATTTTGACTACTCTAAGTACTTCATATAAGTGGAATCATAGGCATTTGTCCTTTTGTGACAGGCTTATTTCACTTAGCCTAATGTCCATAGGGTTCATTCGTGTTGCAGCATGTGTCAGAATTTCTTTCCTTTCTAAGGCTGAAAAATATTCTATTGTATGTATATACCACACTTTGCTTATCCGTTCATCCATCAGTGGACACTTGGGTTACTTCCATATTTTAGCTACTATGAATAATGATGCTATGAACATGAGCGTACAAACGTCTCTTCAAGATTTTGCTTTCAATTCTTTTGGATATACACCCAGAAGTGGAACTGCTGGATCATATGGTAATTCTATTTTTAATTTTTTGAGGAACCACCATAATGTTTTCCACAGCAGCTGTACCATTTTATATTCCTACCAACAGTGCACAAGGGTTCCAGTTTCTCCATATCCTTGCCAACATTTGCTGTTTTTCATTTTTTTGATAGTAGCCATCCTAGTGTTTGTGAAGTGGTATCTCTCTGTAGATTTAATTTGCATTTCCGTAATGATTAGCGATGTTGAGCATCTTTTCATGTGCTTGTTGTCCATTTGAATATCTTCTTTGGAGAAACGTCTAGGTCTTTTGAACATTTTAAAAATGAGTTGTTTTTTGGTTGTTGAGTTTTAGGAGTTCTCTATATATTCTGGATATTAATCCCTTATCAGATACATGATTTGTAAATATTTTCTCCCATTCTGTGTGTTGCCTTTTTACTATGTTGATAGCATCTTTTATGGCACAAAATTTTTAAATTTTCATGATGTCCAATTTGTCTATTTTTTCTTTTGTTGCTTGTGCCTTTTGTGTCATATGCAAGAAACCATTGCCAAATCCAATGTCCTACAGCTTTTGCCCCATTTTCTTCTAAGAGCTTTGTAGTTTTAGATCTTACATTTAAGTCTTTGATCCATTCTGAGTTAATTTTTGCATATGGTGTTAGATAAGGGTCTAACTTCATTCTTTTGCATGTGGATATCCAGTTTCCCCAGCACCATTTACTGAAAAGATTGTCCTTCCCCATTGAATGGTCTTGGCACTGTCAAAAATTACTTGACCATATATGTGAGGGTTTATTTATGGGCTTTCTAGTTTATTCCATTGGTCTATTATGTCTATCTTTATGCCAGTACCACACTGTTTTGATTACTGTAGCTTTGTAGTAAGTTTTGAAATCAGGAAGTTCATACAGCATTTCTTTTTTTATTTTCTCCACAGCTTCCTTTAGTTCTTTGATCATCGTTAAAATGGTTGTTTCAAAGTTTTAATTTAGTAGATCTGCCATCAGCTCTTTTTCAGGGACAGATTTTTTTTTCCTTTGAATGAACTATACTCTCGTTTCTTTGAATGCTTTGTGATATTTTGTTGAGAACTGGACATTTGGATCTAATAATGTGGTATCTCTGGAAATCAGATTCTCCTCCTTCCTCAAGGTTTGCTGGTTTTTTTGTTTGTTTGTTTGTTTTTTAATTGTTGTAGGCCATCTCTATGCCAAGGATCAGCGGGACATGTAAACTTAAGGTCTTCTCAGGTCTTTTCTGAGCCTGCACCTTTCCGTGGGCCTGGGTGGCCCGAGTCTAATTTTCTCTGTGTATGCAGTTGCTTTTGAATGTGCTGGTATGTAATGTCTGGCTCCCAAAAGAGGAAAAACAGAAAAATGAAGGGGGGAAAAATGGGTGCAAGCTCTTTAAATTCCCTGGAAGTCACTTCAGCTGGAGATGGGCTTGCAACAATGAGGGGAGGTGCAACAACAATGGCTGCCCTCCTCTTCATCTACACCTTTGTAATCAGAAGCAGCAATCAGCGATCAGAGCTCAGATCCCCAATATTTGGAGGACACTGTTCTTTTTGCCCACCCTGGCTCTTGCAAGCTGTGTGCAAGCTGTTCCAGGAACACCTGCACAGCTGTCTGCCCCGGGACTAGGGCTGCAGGATGGTAGCTGCTACTCTACTAAGAGCTAAAATTGACTGAAATTAGCCTTCAATAGATTCCAGAGTTCCAAAATAGTTACATTAGACAGATCCTGACAGTGCAATTGTTGTCTAGGTGGGAAGAGGGATTCCTGGCGCTTCCTACTCTGCCATCTTCCCAGAATCCTCTTGACCTCACCCCCAGCCTTATTAGAATTTGTCACCCCTATTGCGGCTTTACTTGTTCCTTACCCAGTTTGACGCTCATAGGTCAGTCTGTTGAACAATGTACTTACCCACTGTCTGATTAGAGTCCCCTTGACCTCTGTCATCTCTTGCCTGATAACCTTCACTACTCTTTACATCAGTTTATGTTAACAATCTTTCCAACACTGCTGGAGTCACAAAACTAGGTCAATGAGGCTGGCTACAAATTCATGTTATCTCCTTGGAGGTGGGTCCTTACTGCTGCTCTGCACTTCTTTTATTCACATCTACTCCATACCATACGCCATACTTTTCATCTCATTTCAAGCCCATAAGTCTCTCTGTAAGATTATGCTTCAATCTTGTATTTAAAATTCTGTAACAAAACAACATAATCATTTCCCTGAAATCAGCTTTTTCTTTGTCATCCCTAACATAATCATACTAAAAATCAAAGCATGGGCTTTGGAATCGAGGAAGATGTGAATCTGGATCCTGACTTTGCCACTTAACGACTATGTGATTTGGGGGAATGGTTTAACTCCTCGAGTCTATTTTTCTCTGCATCTTGGAAACTAATCCCAATTTTGCAGGGTTGTCATGCTGGTTAAATGACAGTATATATAATGTCCCCAAGACAGGGAATGGCACTTACTTAATGCACACAGCCTCTCCTCCCCCACCTCATTCCCAAGATGTAGACATTAAATCCTACTGATACCACTTTTCTAGACTCTTTAAAAATACTCATTGCCATCATCCTAGACTGGGTCCTCATTACCTCTCAGCAAATCTACTATAGCAACCACTGGTCATTACTAGCTCTGGTCCATCCTACGCACTTACATTAACCTTTCTAAAACATAGCTCTAAACCTTGGATGGCTGGTTGTGGTCACAAGTAAAACCCACACTCTTACATTTGCTAGAATACATACTTTGCCCCAGGTTACCTTGCGGCCTTATCTCACATTACTTCCCTCCTATACCCAGGCAGTTCTTTGCTTCTCAAGTATCTTTCCTCATGCAATTCACTAACCAAGATATCCTCTTCTTCTGGCCTGTCTTCCTTCCACAAGTTCCTCAAGGTTTATTTTAATTTGTAGACAGGTAACACTTCTCCATGATTCCATCACTGGAAAATTCTTTCTACCCCCTTTGAACATCTTAGTACTTACTGCCACTCTTCTGGAACTCACCATTCTATGTTGAGTTTTAGTTATTTCCATACATGTCTAGTGTTTGTGGCTTGATGACAAGTTTCTCTTTGGTTCAAACATACATTTCATACTCAAATTGATATTTTGAGTTAATCCCAAAGGCATTAAAGACATCACATTTCTGCAATACAGAAGGTAATAACGTATTACCAAATAAAAAGTATGCCTGAAATCTGAAATGCCTTTAGGAACACATTTTGAATATAGTTGAATTGGCACTCGACCACTCTCAAGATACCCTTGCCTGTTGGAGTCTTTAAACAGGCCAAACTCTTACCAACATGGAGAATTCATTTGGTGTTTGATGTGAAAATAATATTTCTATTGGTCTCTGTTCAGAAACAAAGAAGTTAGTGAAAAGCATATACCATCACTATCTGTTTGTAAGGCTGGTGGTACTTCCTGTAAGAATGGTGCACAGTAAACATTTCTGCTGTCAGAGTAGATTTATTCCAGTGATGTACTTTCAATGTCAGAAACTTGTCACTGGAAATAAAAATAAAATAGTTAAGTAGAGATATATTCCAGGATGTTGATCCTTTGATGCAATATGTCCTTCTCCCTTCCAAGTAAAACAGCCTGTGATTATACTCGGAAGTTATACTGATTTTCTAAAGAATTTTTTTGCTCAGGAACTTGGAGGCCAGGCAGCCACAGTGCAGATATTTCCTTTTCATTCTCACGGATTTGTTCAGCTGCAGGCATGTCTTGAAAGAAACCTGTTTCAGAGTCAATGTTTCATGCCCCTTCAACAACCAAACCAGCACAAAGAATAGGACGTTTTTACCCTAAGTTGATTTTATTTAAAACGAACTTGGAACAGAGGTCTAATCTAAATATTTCCCTAGGATTTTAAAAATTTGCTATGATTTTATACTATGTACTTTGGGTTAATAGTACTTCTTTTTAAATTGTAGTAAAATAATCACCTCCCCTACCTCTGACCCCCATTTAACAAGCTTCAATTCCTAAAAAGATGACGTGATTTATTTTTAGATCCAGCTGTGGAACACCAGCCAAGTTAGTCTTGGAAGGTGATTCTGTTTCTTACTATTGTAATTCATGTTATCCCTTAAAAACACAAAACGATCTTGAGCAATTAACTATCTTGGTTTAATTAATCATATTTCATAGAACTCAAAAACACTCAAATATTTCACCTTTATATGAATAAACAAAAGCCCTATAATTTACAATGTGCAGAACACTATATAAAAGAATGTCCATAAAAATTACATTAGAATCTTTTTCATCAGTGAGGCAACTGCTGTAGTTTCCTCTGACTTGTACAGCAACTGCCCGAATGCATGTTCTTCTTTGTGATGATCTAAATTTAGGTAGGTACAAATCACAGCAAAAATTAAAGTTTTCATCTTTAATGAAATGACTTTGGAAATAACGTACATTTCCATGACACCAGTACTACAGTTTTCGGAGTCACAGTAAGATACACAGAATTACATCCGTAATTAATATGAATGCCAACATTTCTGCAGTAATTTCTGTTACATGGCAAACAAAATCAAGAAAGCAACCATCAAACAAAAGAGACCCATAGCTTCAGACAAGGCAAATCCCAGGATGGCATAGGAGAACAGCTGCTGCTTCAGTGAAGGGTTTCTAAAAGAGATACAACACATATAATCGTTACTTTGCAATATCATTTGAATTTAACATGTTTGGTTAATGTTAAAGAATCAGATTACTAGTGTGAGGGTCTTTGTAAACTGAAAGTTCTGGAAGAGTATTTGCCTAGATCTCTGTTGGTTTTGCCTTTGACATTCTCTTCTCCTCAATCCTAACCATATGGAGAAAAGGGAGGGAGCTGTCTCTGCATATCAGTATAAACAGTTAGTCTTTATCCATTTTGAGGGCTTCTGACATTCTCCTCATCCTTGTGAATGTTCTGTACTTTCTAAGATCTGATAGTTTAGAAATAAGGTCTTGAATAATAAATGGAAATTGATACTTTTGAAGAATGTATTCTGTTAATTATATTCCCAATATAGTTTAATAGTTAAGAGTGCAGACTGAAGTCAAACTGAGTTAAAATTTGTTTTCTTACACTTACTAGCTATGACCTTGGGCAAGCAGTGTGACTTCTGTGTCTCGAGTCTTTCATGGGTAAACTGGATGTTATCTCCAAGGAGTGCTGAGGAGTAAGTGAGATAATGCATGCAAAGCCCTCAAAATATAATGCAAGACACACGGGAGGTACTTAATACAAAGTAGCTATTATTATTTCACTAGTTTTCTAAGTTTCCAACTCTTCCAAGCGTGCTTATTGGGCAATAGAAATTACCTGGCATAACCAATGATAAGGCTGCCAAAGACTGTTCCAATACCAGCACCAGAACCGGCCACTCCTACTGTTGCAGCACCTGCACCAATAAATTTGGCAGCAGTATCGATGTCTCTGCTGATTGCACTGGTCTGAAACTCCCTTTGGATTAGCTGAGACATGCCATTCTGGGCGCCATTAAATACCGTAGAGCCCTAGAGAAGAGGAAATAAAGGCAAAGGTCAAATCAGTAGTCACAGTTAGCTATTTTAATTACCATGCTGTCAAAATGATACCTACTTCTCTACTTTGTGGCTGAGTTTGAATAGGAGGTGGTGTGGCACAACAGAAAAATCAAGAATAATTCCAATCTTGTAGAATAGGAATAACAATATCTCCACCCTATAAGGTTGTTGAAAATTAAGAAACAGTGTATGTGCATATGCTTTTTAATTAGAGTAGAGCTTTCAACAACTGTTGCTATTATAATCTTAAATATTGGCAACCCCAAACCATATACTTTATATACACACTGACCATATTTCTTAGACAACTCAGGCAAATAAGTTTTAGATACAGAAGTATCCTTCATTAGCTCATCCTCTTCATGTTTTTTGGATTAAAGGGTGGAAAGGATTGCCCTCAAACCATTCATTAATTGTTTCCCCTTCACTTTAATCAAAACATAAGACTCGGTAGTATTACTTAATTTTTTTTATTACTACTATTACCTCTCCACTCCTAGCCTCTGGTCGAGATAATACTGATGCAGAAATTGGTCTGTATGCAACTCTGGATCCAGCTCGGATCTATCAATGAAAAAAAGATTTCATATATTAAGAATACAGATAAGACTTCAATGACCCTTCTTGCACCATGAATTCTAAAAAAGCAAAGAGCAAAAATGAATCTGAAAGTTCACGACTTTTCTGCATTTACTCTTATCTTGGCTACTTCGACATTTTCAATATATGAAGCAATTTTAATAGTTTAAAATTGCTAATGAAATTTTAAAATTTGCCTCATAATCTACTTGTAGTGCTCCGAACAAAAGTTCTAAGAACAATTAGTTTAAAAGAATAAATACTGCTTTTAAAATTTCAATTATGGTGCCACAATTCAGATCAGAAAAACGGTAAATAAAGACTCCACATTCTTTGGTAAGTTTAAGTGGACCAACAAGTAAGTACCAGGAGTGTCACTATACATGTCTGTCATTTAAAATAGTCCATCAGTTAATATGAGCCGCCAACATTTTCAAGAGATTGCTATTTATCCATTAATCATAAAACTAAAAAGCAGTTTAAGCAATCCTGCATTAGTGCGAGAATAATCGGTGAAATACTCTGACCATAAGGACATATTCCAGTCCAGCTTCTCTGCCCTTGAGTGTCCACTGAACTAAGGTCACAGAAAATCCCTTCAGAACCAAGACCTGATTCTCTAAGACAAATCCCCCGGATCTTCACTTGATCTAAAGCCTCCAAAACGGTTATGGAAACGACCAGAGGCAGGAAGACGACTTTCGGCTGCTCCACCACCTTCCTCCGCCCACACGGGGTAAGGCAAAGTCCCTCCCTCCGCAGCAGCAAGTTTGACCTAGAGATAGGCAGCGGAGAGCGCTGCTGCGGTGAACTAGGCCTCGGCGGCCCCCGACATCCTTCACAGCACCCCACCCTTCGCGTGCATCCCAACCCAACAGCAGGACCGCGGACATGCGCGAGCGGGCCACTCCGGGACCAGAGGCAAGGAGGTTTGACCTACGCCGAGTGGGGCCTGACAGCTAGGCCTCGGCTACTCTCCACCGCCCTTATGGAGGGAGGAGTGGAGTGCGATGCCCCAGGATTAAGAGGAAAGGAAGACAAGGATCCAGGTTCAGGAGCGAGGGGAGAGCTGTCCGAGAGGGCGGCGGGCCCCGCCCGGAGACGCCCCATTCAACAACGTGGACGCTCCAGGCCCCAGGGTACGGCCCACAGTCCCCCGGCCCAGCCCGGGCTACGCACCAGAGCTGGGGTGCAGGCGAGCTTGGCGCAGGCGAACATCTTACACGCTGGGGGGCGGCGCGGCTAGAGGACTAGGTGACAGTCGACGTGGGCTCCTCTCCCGCTTCCTCTCTGCGGAGGCAAAGAGGCTTAAGGTCAAGCGCCCTCCCAGGGCCTGCCCTTGCCACCCAGGTCCCGCCGGCTCCCAGGCACGCCGTCAGCTTGGGCCCCGCGCCCAGTGAGGCGCCCGTAGAATGAATGGGTCCCCGCGGGACGCTGCTCCGCCCGGGCCAGGCCCGCTCCCGCGTCCTCCGCTTACCTTCCCGCGAGGCGGCAGCGGCGGCACCGGCGGCGGCAGAGGTCGAAGGAGTGGGGCTGGGCGCGCAGGCGCAGTCGGCTCTTATCCGCGCCGCGGCGCCCGGATGGAGAAGGCGGGGAAACGGGTGCAGGAGGGAAGACGCTCAAGGTCACTTTGTAACAACTTTATTGGTAACCAGTTGGGAAGGACAAGAACACCCACCCGGTGATGGGCTGGCGGGCAGGGGTTGGTAAAGGAGGGACAAAACGAAGAAATTGAAGACTAGCCCCGGCAAAGAGAACTGAACAGGTTGTTTCGTCTTTGATCTGAGCTGGCCGGAGGATAGTGCGACTTGCAGTTGACACCTTCTTGTTGGATCTGGCCCTTTTATCAGTTGCTACTTCTCTTTAGTAGGGGAGCTCCCTTCCTAGTCATTCTCTTCTGTGAAATAGGACTCGGGTGGGGTGGAGGGGGAGAGGGGGGAGTCGAGGAAGGGAACAGAGGGCGTGGTGTTCATTGACTACTTGACAGAAGAAATTAGGGTTCCCAGCGAACTGAATACATTTATTTAAAGAAATCTGGAAAAGGATTCCAGAAGTATGGCTAATCCTATGTGTGAAAGAGAGCCTGACCTAGAAGTACTGGGACAAAGGAATGAGCAAATGAATAGATCTAAGAGTTTTGTGACTTTGGGCACAAAGTTGCCTCTTGGTAAAGTGAGGGAGGTCAGTTTTTCTTCTAGCTCTATGACTGGAAGAATTAAGGGATTGTAACGTACAGTATTTCATGTAGGGCCTGGGACTAAAGAAAGTCTGAATATTTTTAAAACCCATCCAATTTTAACACCTGTTCTTGGTAACTTTGGACAAATCATTTTCTCCAGATGAATACAAAAATGTCTCAAAAAGATGACTCTTAGTTATCTTCTGGTAAATCCTTGAATCTTGTAAATTTGACTTACTAGTTCTAACAAATGGCTACTGGAACTGACACAAGTCAACATAAAAGATTAAACATCTAGTCTGCCCAGCTGAAGGGATGGCTGGGGACTGAAATCCAGCTCACTCAGCCTAGAGACCTGGCATGGGACAACATCGACCCAGAGGATCACCCTTTTTCTAGTTAGCACAAAGGTACAGTACCATCTAGCAGCCACCCTGGGGAGAAGCCCTCAGAACTAAAACTTGAAGAATCAATAAGAATTTGTCACTGATCCAACTTCGAATGCAAATGGTTCAAAATCACATGAAAGCTAATAATTTTAGGCTTAGTCTTTAGCTTGTAAAATATATAATTCACATGTATAGTTCAAAGAGAGATTATTAGTGTATTTTTCTCAAGTACTCAGTTCTTACCTGAAGTATGTGGTGTCCTGTGATGTCAAAAGTAGAGTAAACAATAGTTTAGATCAGTCTTATGATCTGTCATCTCTAAGCTGGAGACCCAGGAAAGCTGGTGGTGTATTTCAGTTGCATTTCAAAGGCCTGAGAACCAGGGAGGCCAGTGGTGCAATTCCCAGTCTGAGGGCCAGAGAAGGTGAGATGAGATGTCCTAGCTCTATGGTGAGACCGGAAAAAAGGGATGAATTTTTTCTTCCTTTGCCTTTTGTTCTATTCAGGCTCTCAGTGGATTGCATGATGCCCACCCACACTGGGAAGGGCAATCTATTTTACTGAGTCCACTGATTCATATGCTAATCTCATCCAAAAACACCTTCACAGACACACCCAGAAATAATGTTTAATCTAGGCACCCCCATGGCCAGTCAAGTTGACACATAAAATTAACCATCACATGCCCTATACTTTAATAATAGATCCTTTTAAGTGAAAAATTGTTCTAAATGGATTTGTGTATGGAGATGGTTTAAGGGAAATTCCTATCTCTTCAGCCATAAATTAGTAACAGTAACTGTTGAGGAGGAGGGGGTGGAGGCAGGAAACAAGCCAGGATCCCTAACAAGGTCACTTCCATGGTGCACAGGGGCTAGTTGCCTATGGCAGGGAGAGGAGCAGTCTGAGTTCAGGCCCTGCACTGTCAACATGTCAGTAAGCAGGTGAACTGGCCTAGAAGAGGAGAGATTAGGTTCTTTGTGAGTTCTACCAGTTAGTGTTTACATATTTATGAAAAATATTAGATGTTCAAAGAACAGATGTTCTGTCTTTGAGAATGGTGTGTGTGTGTGTGTGTGTGTAACAGAGAAAGAAACAGAGAAAGACAGAGAGAGAGCGGCAGACAGAGAGAAAGAGACAGAGAAAGACCTGTATATATATATATATAGAGAGAGAGAGAGAGAGGGAGGGAAAGGATCCAATAATTATTTGCTGGAGGAAGAATGCCTAAAGAACAAGAAAGCATATCCACCTTATTCAGGCTGGAGGCTAGAAACTGGACTTAGGGTTCTAAAGCACAGCCTAGACTGTTCTGTTGAGGGCTTGACCATGGCCATGTCTCCAAGGTGGTCTCTGGTTAGATTTGCTCAGATTTTGCATCCAAAGACACTGATAGACGGAGGGGAGTGGGTCTTGAGTGACAACAACTCATGTTGATAGGTGGTGGATATTTATTCTGAGAAAGTTTGAAGAAAAAAAGTCACCTTCTGAGAGGTGTAATGTGAGATCATAAAGATGAATAGGGGACTTCTTGTGAGGTATTTACTCCTGTCTGTGTTTTATGTCAGACTGGAGACAGTCATGTTAAGTTAGGAGACATCATAGGTATCTGATAAGCCTGGATGATTATGGCAGGGGGAAGAAAGGAATGGGGCAGTCAAGAGAAATGTGAGAAATCCTTTTCAAGTATAGCTGTGACAATCCCTGCTGTCCTGTATGCCCCTTTACAAGGTGACTTAGCCACTCATCTCATCAAGCAGTAGCATCTGCTTCCCTTCCCCTTAAATCTGGGCCGACCCTGTGACTTGCTTTAACCAAGAGAATCCATTGGAAGTGACACTGTGTGACTTCTGGGCTAGACCTTAAGAGGTCTCATGGCTCTCATTCTCTACTTTTTGGAAATCAGCCACCATATCAAGGAAGAGTTAGACTACTGAATGATAAGAAACCACGTGGACAGAAAAAAGCCTCATGAAAAGGGATAGATTCAACTGACCCATTAGTTTTTTCCTTTTCCCTGCCTGGAATATGGACCCAGTGTCTGGAGATAAAGAAGCAGTCTTACACCATGGGTACGGAAGCCACACATTAAGGATGGAGAAGCTGGAATCTAAAAGGAGCCTGAGTTCTTAACTTTTTTTTGAGTAGCTACAGCAGCTCTTAACTGCCTATTTATGGGTTTCATATTATATAAGAAAATAAATTTCTATTTGGTTAAGCCACTGAGGTCAGTTTCCTGTTATATGCATCTGGACACAACACAAACTGATACATAATTTTATACATCTACACCTCTGAAGCTTTTTGGTCTTTGGGCTGTGATTGCAACAGAAATGGCCTTTCTCTCACAGAATTTACATAAATTTACATCTATCTTTTTTTTCTTATTCTGCGGTATATCTGCTAAGGGACTAACCAGAAGGCAGAAATCGTGTCAGTAATTTAAACAGGGAAAATTTAATATAAAGATTTTTAACCAGTAAAAGGTGTCTAACAAAAAGAAGAGTGGAGTGGACACTAAGGGATACAGAAGTAGCCACTGTAGGAATAGCTACTCCCCTTGGCTGAGGAAGAATTAACAGCAAGGAAGAACTTAGAAATTTAGAGGAGAGGGCGTGGCTGCCACAGGAACCTACAGTCCACCTGTGGTGAAGAAACTTGCTGGAGGCACAGGCCGCAAGTGAACCATGAGGACTGCTGAGGTGAACACCACCAGGCTTCTCCTGCGAACCAATCCACTAGCTCCGTGTGGAAACAGTACACCAGAAGAAGGGAAAATCGTTTCCTCCTGCTCTGGTCTCCCACTGTCTTTCCATTGCCCTCCATTGGCAAAGCCTAACATTTTGCCAGTTGTCATGCAGAAATACCTACAGGGTCCAGCTCTAGAATAGTTATACAAGGCAAAGAAGGATGGATTTCTAGCTGAGAAGTCCTAAGTCAATAACTGGCACCAATGGTAAGATGCTCGAGGGCAGTTATTAGGTCTAATTCATATTTATGTCTTCCATAGTGCCTAACATAAAGTGTTAAACATAGTAGTTGCTCAATGAGTTTTTGCTCAATAATAAATATGGGGCTTAGTATGTACAAAGTAATTTGCAATAGCTTTATTCTTCTCTCTTAACTAAGATTTTAGTCTCTGAACAAATAAGAATGACCTCTAGAATGTCTTTTTCTTTCTAGTATTGCAAAATTCAAACTTAGAGAACTCAAGGAACATTTTTTGATTTGTGGCAAGAGTTTGTTCAAACAAACATTTTTGTGTGCCTTTGAAGGGTTCTGTGTTTATACCTCATGTGCCTAAAGAATTCACTAAAAACCTGAAACATTAAGGCCTTTTATCGATTCCTTCTATGATGGAATAGAATATTGGCAAAGCTAGGAAGATAAACTGAAGCAGGTAGGCCCTAGGCTGAGTTGTGAAGTAGGCAATATATGTCTGCATTTACCCTTTCACTTTTTTTTTCAATGCCTTTGGTCCATCCTCAGGCAACTTGCTCTCCCTGCAGCCACCTGGTATCTTCCTGGTGTCTGGTGACTACATAAGGCTCTCCATGGTAGCACCTACCGAATCTGTCTTGCTCCAGGCAGTGTCCACCTTCTGAACTCTTATCCATGTAAAATCTTAATCTTACTACTTAATCTTAGTGCTTACTTCAGCAGCACCCATGTCAAAATTGTAATGATGCAAAGAAGATTAGTATGGTACCTATGTGAGGATGATACACAAATTCATCAAGTATTCCATATTTTTATATTATACTACCATTCATCTAAGAAGTAGGGGGAGAGATATGAATGTATCTAAGTGGAGAGAATTACAAAAGTATTTCCTATATTTAAAAACTAGAAGGTTCATAGATGGTTACCTATGGGGGAAGGAATAGGTTGGAGGGAACGAAAATAGAAGCCAGACTTCTTTGAATATATTTTGCTTTGTAGATTTGAATTTGGAACCGTGCAAACCATTTATAAGGGTAAAATTTTTTTAAATCTCTAAAAATTGAAAGGAAACGAACAAATGAATTTAACTGTATCTAGTTGGTAGCATAATTTCATGGGGTAAATACAAATAGTCTCTATCAGTGGATAAAAGACGACTCCTTGATTGCTCTGCTTCATGTGCATTGGCCTCTTTGCTATTCTTCCAACATGCCAACCATATTCCACCTCATAGAGCTGCACTTTTTTGTTCCTTTAGCTTGGAATACCTTTCCCATGGATATACACTTGGTTATTCCTACACTTCATTCAAGTCTTTGCTCATGTCACCTCTTAAGAGAGGCCTTCCTGGATCTCTTACATATCTTTACATTTCTTCATAGCACTTATTGCTACCTGGCATTATTTATTGCTGTTTGTTTGTCTCTTGTTTTAGGCTATAAGTCCATGAGGGCAGGGACTTTGTTTTATTCATTACTGTATCCATATAGTCTAGAACATACTTGGCCCATTAATCGGCCCTCGATAAATTTTTGAGCAATGAGGTTGGAGAAGGAAGAGAGAAACTTAACTTTTTCTTCACACACCTCTGTATTATTTGATATGTTAACATAAGCATGAATAACTTAAAAATTTAAAAAACCAATATGTTAGGAAAGTTTTAACAATTCACAATAATTATAAAATTTACCAGATTATCCCTTCTGTGGTACTTGCATTAATTAAACCAAAGGGAAGCATTATTAAATGTTGAATTTCAGTTCTTGGTGATGGACTTGGATGTACTTCTAAGCAGTAGCCCTACCCAATACTTTTCAAATTATATGCAAAGTCTAATGTATCTGTGGCAAGGCTATCCCTGTTTTGAAGCATCGTGTGTGTGTGTGTGTGTGTGTGTGTGTGTGTGTGTATACCTTCTTGTCTGTATATTGGTGGAGTTTCTTGTATGTGATAGGAAGATGTATGTCGATTTCAGCTATTTTTAAGATAATCAGTTGCAAGTAAGTCCTTATTCTGCTTCAAGAAATTATATCCATCCTTATTCAGTGGACCCAGATATTCAACTCATGGTTAAGAGATAAGGAATTTCACAACACTAACAAAATGTTTGAAAGGATTCTTGCTTATCAAATTTTCTGTTACTTTAGCCCCAGTGAGGGCTTTAAGGGTCAAATTCCTAAGCCTAGAGCTTGTGATATACGAAGGTCTTACATCAATTTAAGGAATCATAGGGTTTCCATATGGTACAAGTGCACCATGCTGAGTAAAGCTTTATTTTCTTTCCGCATTTGGATCATCATGGCTCTATGGAGAAATAATATGGTTACACAGTATGAATTGCTCTTTCCTTAGCCACCTCCTACATCATTGATCTTAGTCAATTATTGCATTAGTTTGTTCAGATGAATAGTCCCAGACTTTTGCTTACCCGTCTCACCTTTCTAAGAATGTCTGATCAATGGACTTTGATACTGAGTTTCCTGTGTCGTGTCCCTAAGCCAGGGAACCTGTCTTAAAGTAGTGATAACTATGTAGTAATTTTAAGGGTAGTATGGTTTTCAGAGGCAAAACATCAAGGAGACACATTCTACAAAATTAGGTCTGTAAGTGGAAGCCTTAAGGTTCGTTTAAGCCTGAAGGATTAGAGTGCTTGCTGAAATTGCCTCTCTTGATTTGAACTAAAGGAGAGCACAAGCAAAATATGCAAGTTTTAAATGTAAAAACTTTGTATTTGAACTTGAGGTAGAAAACACGGTCAGACGAACACTCACAATCAATAACTAGAGGAAAGCAAAGCACAGTTCGTAGTAGATGCTTCAATTTAGAGGGTCCCCGTCCCCTCATTGTGATGAGAACATTCCAGTTTGGAAAGCTACACGTGGGAAAGCACTTGTTTCATCTGGTGATATTTTTGCGTGGTCTTGTGCAATCATAGAAGGCTGTCAATGATTTCGGGAGGCTGGGCATTTGTTCGTGGTAGGCACATGTTATTTAATTGCAGATTCTATCAGTTGTTCAAGGCTGTTCTTTGGTCAGATTCCATCTGCCTTTCTTGACCATTTAAGGGAGTCCTGTCAGCTCGTTCTACCAAAAAAACTCCTTCCAGCACAGAAGCACAAGCAGATCCCCTGTAGGAGAATAGCCTTAAAGGACCAGGGAAACTTTTTAAAAGCCCCCTGTTCTATTGTATCTTTAAAAAAAACATGCAGTGTTTACATTAGATTCTTTGTAGAGATTTAGATAACTTAAAATGCTTTAAATTACCAATTAAATTGCTTAATTTTCCTATTTTCCTTCAGTAAAGCTGATGTACCAGGAGGTAGGTAATGTATTTCTATAGTTTTGTTCACTTCCTACCCCACCATTGCTTACTTCAAGAGTTCAGGGACCTCAGTTTTAGGGGGAAGGACTTCTTGTCAGACCTTCCTGTTTCTGGTCTGCTCATCCCATAGCCTCTGGCTAATAGAGGGTACATTAATATACAACAATATGGACAGCGGGTAGATAGTTCATCTTTCTGAAAACTTACTAGACTATGGCAAATTGTATACAAATCCTTTTCTTAAGATCTTAACAACCTTAATCTCTCAAGAGTTAACTTTAATCAAATGCTTTCCGCCGTCCCATTTCCTCACTATCTTTTAAACTCTTGGCTGAAAACATTCCATTACTGTTTTTTACATTACATCCTTATATCTGATCAGCATCAGTTAACATCCTCAGATCACACAACATGCTGAGAGTTCTGGGGAATGAACTGGAAGGGAGGGACCAGGTACAAGGAGTTCAAGGTAAGCTCAGGGCCAGAAGTGATAGCTTCTTCCCCATAGAAAGGCTGTGGCTTCTTCAGATAAGTTTTGGAAGGTACTTTTGTTAGGCAGAATAACAACCTTACTCAAAGATATCCTTGTCCTAATCGCCAGATCTTGTGAATATGCTACCTTACACGGCAAAAGGGACTTTGTAGATGTGATTCAGTTAAGGATTTTGAGATGAGGAGATTATCCTGGATGATCTGGGTGGACACGATGTAATCACCGGGGTTCTTATAAGTGAAAGAGGGAGGCTGGAGGGTCAGAGTCAGAGAAGGAGATGTAATGATGAAAGCAGAGTCAGAGTGGTGCAGCACGAGAAAGACTCTACTGGCCATTTCTAAGATATGGAAGAAGGACACCAGCCAAAGAATGCAGGCGGACTCCAGAATCTGGAAAGGCAAGGGAGTGGATTCTCTCCTAGAGCTTCCAGAAGGAATGCAGCCCTGTCAACACCTTGATTTTAGCTCAGTGAGACCCATTGCAGACATCTGTCCTCCAAAGCTGCAACGTAATAAATTTGTGTTGTTTTAAGCCACCCAGTTTGTGATAATTTGTTACAGCAGCAGTAGGAAACTAGCAAAGTAGTGAGACTCTTGTCTGATTCCAGGCATGGATAATTAGTCTGGAAGTATGAATCAGAGATGGCATGGGGACTTGATTTTGGAATTCAGGCAGCTAAGGTGCCCAGGGTTGTGTGGGATGGGTCGTTCATTATGCATCTGAGTTTAGTACAAGACCAGGGAGATGAGCAGCAGGGGTGTGCTCTGACAAATGATGGCATGATCTCCAAGAGCATGGTAGTATACCAGCCAGCTGGCTAGGTGATAGGACCAGGCCCATCTTGGGCGCTGAAAAATTGGGAGAACAGGAAAAAACCCAGATACCTAGGGCCGACCACATGGCCGAGTGGTTAGAGTTCCCCGTGCTTCACTTTGGTGGGCCGGGTTCACAGGTTTGGATCCCGGGTGTGGACCTACGCCACTCATCAGCCATGCTGTGGAGGCATCCCATATATAAAGTAGAGGAAGATTGGCACAGATGTTAGCTCAGGGCTAATCTTCCTCAAGCAAAAAAAAAGAGGAGGATTGGCAACGTATGTTAGCTCAGGGTGAATCTTTCTCACACACATGTACACACAAACAAAACAGCCCAGGTACCCACAAAACCGTACAGAAGTGTATCAGAAGGGAAGACTGAGATCTCTGGGTATGCAGGTACAGGAAGCTGATATGTAATAGTGCTGCTAAAATGCTCTTGAGCATAAAGTAATAGAATGTTTTCTGAACCTCACTGACTTCTAGAAGAAGAGCTAGAAATATCTTTCCAGATGGCCTCCAAGTTGCTCTTAGGGTAGAAAACCCTGTAGGAAGAGGGCAGCTAGAGGAGAGTCATCAGTAATAGGGCATTGGCCAGAGAGGGAATAGAGTGAGGGCCAGGAAATGTGAAGCAGGGTCAGTTCAATGATAAGTCAGTTTCATTGGAGGGTAAGAGTCATAGGCATCCGGAGTTGCACTTCTTGACTATTCAGGGGTCTTGTCCAGGTGGTACAATCTAGGGTGTAAATCTAGACACATTCCTTTCTTTTCTTCTCCCACTGAAACCCTCTGTTTAGGCCAATATCTTCTAGTATTAGTCTATTCTTATTTAGTCTACTTATCTTCTCTCTTCTCCTTCAGATTCACTTATCATTTGTTCATTCATTCAACAAGCATTTTATTCATTTATTATATACAATTGTGAGACTGCTTTCAAAAGATATTTCTTGGTGAAAACTTTAGAATAAAATGTATACTAATTGATATAAAATTAAAATCCCTTTTCTTTTTTTCTGTCCCCCTGCTGCTTTGCTGTTAAAATCTTCTGATTTGGCCAAAATGGTCCACTTTCCATCCTCCAAACAATCATTGCCTGAGAGCCTCTTTGTAATTCTGGCTGCTTTGCTCTGGCAAAGCTCACAGGGGCCTCTGAGTCTTCAGTTACCTCTTACATATATAAG